CCGGCTATTAAATTTCAATGGTAATTAGCTGAGAATTGATCTTTTATTTCTTGAGTGATCCTGAAACTCAGACCCAATTACATGAGCGTCTTTTGAAAATTTATATTCCACCGTTTTAAACTGAGCTCACTTTTACAAGCCGAATGGTTTTATAATATAAAGACTTTTTGATTGGTACTTAATGCTTGATCACCTGACAGATAAATTTACTGAACCGGAATCTATACTATAGCACTTATATAATTGGTACTTTATTATCGGCCGTTAAGTTTTGTTTCAATTTCAATTAAATATAGTGCGCAAATTACGTGTATATATATATACAATGATTTGTATACGCTTCAATATTCTGAAAGTATTTCATTGGCTCTTGGAAGAAAAAAAAACAATTTTTGCCGCAAGTGCCTTAGTTGAATTTAAATTTTGTAAAATAATTTCCTGAGCTTTTTTTTAATTCTGATATTATTTGTAATATATAATAATATTAAATAATTCCTCAGAATTAATTGGTATGTATTTTTCTTTTTTCGCATTTTTTGAAATTATAACCTTAAAATAGTTCTAATTGTAACTTTACTCTTTTAGACGAAATAAATTCTGATGAGGGAATCGGTACCGATTCCGAAACGTTACAGATGTTTCTTAATATCTTTTACTTGTCCTAAAAAAAGCCATTAAACCAAATTTTACTATATTTAAATAATACATAAAAATATATAAAAAAATTTATATAAAAATATATATAAAAATATATAAAAATAATATATAATAATACAGAAAAATATGTTAATAATATTAAGGTAATAAAAATATAGAAACAATAATAATTAAAAAAGGAACGAAAAATAAAATATTTATAATTATAAAAAAATAAAATAGAAAAAGAAATAAATGTAATATTTTTAGCGTTTTTTAGTGGAAAAATTTGAATGTAATTATTATTTTAAAAAATTATATCTCTAACCTTAGTCAGCAACCGATGTATAATATATTTTGAACGATAAGATCAGCCGGAAACACACGCGATTTAAAAAATTTCAAACACTCCCGAAACTACGTATTAAGAAAGAAAATATACTTTTTTTTCTAAAGATTTAAACGATCGCGATTTTAAGAATTTCAAACACTCCCGGAATAAAGAAAAAAAAATTACTACATTTTTTCATTCGTGAATTATTAAAAAATTCCGGGCACTCTATATTAAAATGTAAAATTAAAAAAAAATTATTTATTATTAGTATTAAATAAAAAACGATAAATTAGCTAACATTTTTTTTAAAAATAATTTAATAATTAAAAATTTTCATTTTAAAATTACAAAATTTAATTAAAGCCTAAACAGGTCAATGCACGAATTGCAACTGATTGAATTATCTTTGAGATTTTATGAGCTTTGGTTTAGGGTACCCTTTGTAGTTCATTGTAAACATACAGCTCGGCTTTCAGGTATAAAGGTAATAAAATTCCAAAATTTCTTCAATGTATTTAAAAATAATAATAATATTTTATTTATTTATTATCGAAATTGTAATTTTCAAATATTATTTCATTTATGAATTCAATTTTTTAATTTGTAAGTGAAATTAAAACAAAAAAAAAAAATTTCAAAATCGCTGCAACTTTTTTTCTAAATTATATTTTTATTTATTTACTATCGAAATTATAATTTTCTAATATTATTTCAATTAATAAATTTATTGTTTTTTTCCCTCTATTTATTATATACTAAAAAAAATTTATTTGATTCTAAAATTCTGTTACTTGGCTATTATCAAATAAATATTTATTTGGAGCAAATAATTTTTATTTTCGAATCAAATAAACTGTATTAGAATCAGTAATTTTTGTATTCAAAATAAATATACTTTTAATTGACTCAAATAATACCTAATTATTTTATATAAATAAATATTTATTATTATTTATTTAATATCAAAATTATAATTTTCAAATATTATTTCAATTATTATTTATTTTTTAGTATTTTTTTTCTTCTCTATCCATCATACATTAAAAAAAATCATTTCATTCTAAAATTTAATGACTTTAATTATTATTAGTATTAAATAAAAAACGATAAATTAGCTAACATTTTTCTTTTAATAATTTAATAATTAAAAAATTTGATTTTAAAATTACAAAATTTAATTAAAGCACGTCTAAACAGGTCAATGCACGAATTGCAACTGATTGAATTATCTTTGAGAATTTATGAGCTTTGGTTTAAGGTACCCTTTGTAGTTCATTGTAAACATACAGCTCGGCTTTCAGGTATAAAGGTAATAAAATTCCAAAATTTCTTCAACGTATTTAAAAATAATAATAATATTTTATTTATTTATTATCGAAATTGTAATTTTCAAATATTATTTCATTTATGAATTCAATTTTTGAATTTGTAAGTGAAATTAAAACAAAAAAAAAATTCAAAATCGCTGCAACTTTTTTTCTAAAATTTATATACTATCGAAATTATAATTTTCTAATATTATTTCAATTAATAAATTTATTGTTTTTTTTCCCTCTATTTATTATATACTGAAAAAAATTTATTTGATTCTAAAATTCTGTTACTTGGCTATTATCAAATAAATATTTATTTGGAGCAAATAATTTTTATATTCGAATCAAATAAACTGTATTAGAATCAATAATTTTTGTATTTAAAATAAATATACTTTTTAATTGACTCAAATAATAATTATTTTATATAAATAAATATTTATTATTATTTATTTAATATCGAAATTATAATTTTCAATTATTATTCATTTTTTTGTGCTTTTTTCTTTTCTATCCATCATACATTGAAAAAAAAAATCATTTGATTCTAAAATTTAGTAACTTGGCTATTATCAAATAAATATTTATTTGAACCAAATAATATTTATATTATTTGGAGCGAATAATTTTTATTTTTGAATCAAATAAATTATATTCGAATCAATAATTTTTGTATTTAAAATAAATATACTTTTTATTTAACTCAAATAATAATTATTTGATACAAATAAATATTTATTTGATAATAGTCGATTATTTGAATCAAGTAAATTTTTATTTCCAGTGTAATAAATAAAAAACAATAATAAAAATATAATAATAATAATAAAGTAAATAAATAATAAATAATAATAATGAAATAGTAAAATAAAATTTGATTTTTAACAATAGCAACTAAAAAAAAATTTTTTTTCCTAGAATTGAAATTTTCATATTTGATGAAAATTGTTCCCCACTTTATTTGAACTATTTTTATATGAAAATAATACGAGATTGAAATATACATATTGCAAATAATGTGTATTATTTTGACATCGAAACTTGAACTCGATTCTTGTGATATTAAAGTTTGCATGTACCGGTACGTGATTGAGTAATAAAACGCGAAATAATATTGCCATGTATATAGTATGTATATAAAGACGATAACTATGGCAGTTTTGTTATCGACCTGAACATCATTCTGGGCAGAGTGTGTGCGGTCATTTCTGAACCGCATCGCAAATCGCTCGATTTATTGGTGCTGACTCGCCACGATCGGCATGAGACCAAAAGCGGCCACCATCCAAGCGTTGGGACATCAATCCTATATATATATATATATATACTGTAAGAGGTCACCGCTGGACCACTCATCACAATTCACAAAAAAAAAAATTTGAATAAAATAAAAAAAAGAAATTGTTTTAATTATCAAAAAACCGATTTTAATTTTGAAAATTTTAATTATCAAAAAATCGATTTTAACTTTGAAAAAAAAATTTTAATTATAAAAAACCAATTCAATTTTTAAAAACTAATTTTAATTTTGAAAATTCAAAATTTCAATTTCTTTAGGTAATTTGATATTTTTAAAAAAAACTGTGATTAAAAAATTATTATATAGAACAAAAAAATTTTTTTTTTTTCTAAATTTTCCCCTTATTAAATATAAAAATAAATTAAAATTATAAAAAATGTGTATATATATAGTTAATAAAATACAATTTTTTGGGATAAAAATCTGAGATTCACGATACTTAATCATGTTGCGGTTTTTGCAATTACAAGTTTGAGCGTCACGCTGTCATGGTGAAAAACAAAAGAATCGTATCACAAAAAAGAATTATGACTCTCTCTCTCGCTACGTTATATAGAGTTATTCTTGTTTCCAATTCTCTGCAGTCAAATTAAATCTGAATGCAATTTTTAGCCCAATTTAAGACCATGATTTTTATCTCATATATTCGGCAATATTTCAAGTATCGCGCGTCGTGAATTCCTTTTTTTTTTTAAATTGCTCCAACGAATATTGACAATATCATCAATATAAAACGTAGTTTTATACTTTTTCACAAAATTTATTTAATTTAAAAAAGTTTATTAATGAGGAATTTAAAAAATTTATTAATGAGGAATTTAAAAAAATTTAATTAATATTTAATGAAAAATTAACAACAATAATAATAATCATAAAAAAATAATAATAATGAAAAATTTAAGTAGCACAACACCTGCAATAATAGGTGTTAAAATCGTCGACTTTAATATTCTTTACTTTAACGTCATTAATTTAAAAAAAAAAAAAACCGCGAACAGATTTATTATATCTCAAGTACTTGTGTGAATAATTAAGCCAAATTTTCTCGGTATTTTTTTTTTGCTCCTCTTTATATTATATATTTTTGTAAAAAATTCAATTATTTCCCTTATGCAAATTAATTCCTATCGAGAAAATGCAAGTGCAATGAGAGTCGTTATTCGTATTAAAATAAATTAATTTTGGATTAAGAAGCATCTTAAATCATTGAACTGAACTGACCCAAATTACACATATAGTTCAACTTGAGATTAAAGTTTACTGTTCGTTCCTTGAGCGCTCTATATATATAAATTTACTATAATCGATAAAGTAAAATTATAGCAATAATTAAAAATCAATTTAATTTTTCTAATCTGTTTTTTTTTAATTCAAATAAATAAATTAAGTATGTAAAAAATTTTTGTTGAGTACTTACATCAAAATCGGCATTACATTTGACAAGATCCTGAGGATGTCCTGCGTACAATTTCAACGTTTGTAGAAGACCCTTGAAATAAACAATTAGAAAATAATATAAAGCAACACGATAAATGGGATTCGTCATTCTCAAATATATCGAGTCTCGCTGATGATGTCTCTTGGATTTTTTAAACCGCACATTCACCGTTATAAAACACAAATTCATCAAAATTTCGATTTAGTCTGTCACTAAAAATTCACGCGCGCTTTTGTGTCACTCTTTTCGTTTGTTCAAAAAAAAAGCGGGGAGGGGGGGATGTTGGAAATTTTTTTTTTTTAATTTACCTTCAAATTTCCATTTATTTTTATAATATTTACCCTAAAAATTTATGTTTGTACAGTGAAAAATAAATTTATTTGATTCAAATAATTGGTTACTATTATTAAATAAATATATTTACTTGATGGAAATAATTATTTGAATTAAATATTAACTGTGTTTTTACAAGTAATTTCTGTATATTTGAGAGAAATACTATTTAATTGATTAAAATAATATAATTATTTACTATAATTAAATATTTATTATCGAAATTATAATTTTCAAATATTATTTTAATTATTATTTATTTTTTCCTTTTTTTTCTCTCTATCCATCATTGTAGTTTGTATGAAAGGGAAATGAAAAAAAATTAATTTTGATTCAAAAAATCAGTTACTTGGCTCAAATAAATATTTATTTGGAGCAAATAATTTTTATTTTTGAATCAAATAAACAGTACTCGAATCAATAATTTCTGCGTATTTGAAACAAATATAATTTAATTGACTCAACAATTATTTGAATCAGGTAAATATTTTTTTGATTCATGTAAATATTTATTTGATTCGTGTAAATATTTATTTGATTCAGATAAATATTTATGTGATAATCGTCAAGTAACATATTTGAATCAAATAAATTTTTTTTCAGTGTCAGCGCTGCCATAAAAATGTTATTTTACTAGAGAAATATTTTATTTCAACCAAATATAATATATTTGAGTTAAATAAACGTATATTTGTCTCACAGCCTACTAGCCTATTTATTTGGCGTAAATATAATTTTTTATTTGAATCAAATAAAAATTTATTTATATCAAATAAAAATTTATTTATATCAAATAATAAATATTTATTAGGCTATAAGACAAATAAATATAATTTTCTCTGGATTTATTTTTTCCTGATTTTTACCTGATATCCAATCAGTATTAAATTTTTTTCCCTGATTCTAATGAAAATATTTCAATATTTTTTTAATTATAAAAAATCAAGATAATAATTTTTATAAGCAAAAGTTTTGAATTGAAAAAAAAATTATAATTTTTACAGCATTTTTAGAAATTTACTATTTCTCCAGTAATTTTCAAAAAAAATTACCTGACTTTTCCCTGATTTTTCTGATCCCTTCAAAAATTAAAAAAAAACATATATCTAGAGAAATATTTTTAATCACGTTTATTTGAGACAAATAAAATTTATTTATAGCAAAGAAAAATATATTTGTCTCAGAGTTTAATAACTTTCTATTTGTTTTAAATAAAAAAAAATTTATTTAGCACAAATAAAATTTTATTTAGCGCAAATATAATTTTTAATTAGCGCAAATAAAATTTATTTTACAACAAATAAATATTTATTTATCTCTGTGACAAATGTATCCTTTTTTCGGGGTGCAAAATTTGTTAATTTTCAAAATTCAATAAATAAAAAAAGTAATAAATAAATTCCTGTAAAATTATTATTATATGCAAAATATTCTTCAAAAATTAAAAAAAAAACACATTTTGAGAAATATTTTATTCGTATTTATTAGAGACAAATAAAATTTATTAATAAAATAATAATAATAATAATAATATAAAAATAAATAAAATAAAAATTGAAAATAATAAATAAAATAAAATTATGAAACCAATTCAAATAAAATAAAATTTATTTGTAGCAAATAAAAATATATTTGTCTCAGAGCCTAGTAACTTTTTATTTGTTTTAAATAAAAAATATTTATTCAGCGCAAATAAAATTTATTTGAAATAAATATTTATTTGGCTATGAGACAAATATACATCTTTTCTCTGGGGTGAAAAATTTATTAATTTCCAAAATTCATAAATATGTATAAATAAAAAAATAAATAAATTTATAAATAAATTTATAAATAAATTAATTAATAAATTAAAAAAATTAATTAATAAAATAAATTCACAAAATAAATGAGTTACGAATTTGTTTTTGAAAAATTGTGAAATGTTAATCAGTTCTTTAAATGAAAATCATGGTCATTATAAATAAATATTAAATTTCAAGTTTTATATGAGATTTTCATATAAGTATCGAATATCAAAGGTTCATATATAATTTGTTGCTCGAATATATATATATATAGTATATAAAGTATACCCCTTATCACATTTCCGTGTTTATTGCAGTGCTTGTAAGTTTGAGGAGGGATGAAACTGAGTCTACTGAAAGCATCAGCGTGTAATGATTTGTGTTGAAACGACGACACTATTCTCGGTGTATCATTACGCAGAAACTGGAGCACGTTTTCACTATACAGGAAAACTTTTTAAAGTGCACACAAGGATTTTGAATCACATCTATATAGTCCTGTTTTGTGATTGCGTTGTTGAGCTCACTCTGTGATGGAAAACGATGTTATGTCTCTCTGAGAGGAGAGGAGAGGAGAGACCCGCATGTCTCATATGAGACGGTAAATATATATATATAGATATATATTGGAATTTGACCCCGCAACGAATACGCGTTATTCTCGGGTTAAATGAACGATCTATCGATACACTGCTTTTGTCGAGTTGCGAATGGACATGCGGGTTTAATTAAGCTATCCTCTCATAATTGCACTCATTGAATTCAATTAAATGCCATTCGCTTCGCAAAAACGACTTTCAATACTCCTTCATCACTTCGTCGTATAGTCGATTTTTCTTTTTCTTCATATTATAAATTCCACACTTGTCAGCTAAATAGCCTCAGATTAAATCTTTCAAATTATAACGTCTGCAGAGAGAATTATTGATATTTTTTCTTTTGTAGGAAAAAAATTCTACAAAATATGAAGATATAATTATGAATGTCATAAATATTTTTTATAAATATTACATTTTTATTTATAAATATAAATTTATTAATAAAATTTTTTGAAATAAATAAAAAAATAAAAAATTATAAACATTTATATTTATAAATTTAAATTTATAAACATTCTCTCTCTCTAAATCTGAATTAGTGAAAATTGAGCTACTAATTTAAATTAGTAAGAATTATTTATAATTTTTGGTCACTTTTTATTAAAACTTTAGTAAAAAAAATTTTAAACTACTAAATCAAATGGTACCCACTTGGAAAGATTCCCCGGAAAGTGCCCCCTGGAGGTTCTATCAGAATTCTGCCGGAACTTCCAACGTAATTCCGTCGGAATTTCATCGGACTTCCAAAGAATTTCCGATGGGATTCCGACGGAGTTCCGATTAATTTTTTTTTCAAAATTTTTAGAGTCCTAATTCCGTCGGAATTTCGTCGGAATCCCATCGGAAATTCTTTGGAAGTCCGATGAAATTCCGACGGAATTACGTTGGAAGTTCCGGCGGAATTCTGATTGAACCTCAAGGGGGCACTTTCCAAGTGGGTAATATTTTACTAAAAATTAGTAAAAAAATTCTTACTAATGTGAATTAGTAGCTCACTTTTCACTGATTAAAATTTAGAGAGTTGTTTTATAACATGTTTTTTTAATATATTTTTATTTATTTTATTTATAGAAACGTATAACATTTATACGAAAAAAATTCTTTTTACACAAAAAAATCCAATAAAATATATAACGTATTTAATTTCATTTTTTGCAATTTTTTGTGTAAAAAGAAATCCGTTAGATAAAAATTTAATTTGTGAAAAATGAAAAAAAAACCATTTCATAGGGTTTTTAAATAAACGTCGATAAATCTTATGATTTTTTTTTAAAATAGTTTTTTACAATTTTCTATCCCAAAATATTTCTATTTAATTCTGATTGTAATTGTAATAACAAAATCAAAATTTTTTTTCGAATTTATAAATTAATAAATAACAAATAAAAAATGCATTTTTAATGAATTAATTAATATAAAGTAAATAAAATTTAAATGGAGAAAAAATTCCAATAATTTCTATTCTCTAAATTTTAATTAGTAAAAATTATTAAAAAATAAGTGACTTTTGCTTTTTAATTTTACTAATTCGATAGTAAAAATTTTTTTTCCTATTAAATATTAGTTAAATTTTACTACTCCAAAAGCAGAAAGTGAGTCACTGATTCAAATTAGTTAAAATATTTACTAACTTTTAGTAATTTTTTCACTAAACATTTAGTAAAAAAAAATAATACCAAATCAAATAGTAATATTTCACTAAAAGTTAGTGAAAATTTCTATTAATTTTTAGTTATTTTTTTACTAAAATTTTAGTAAAGAAAATATTACTAAATCAAATAGTAATATTTCACTAAAAATTAGTGAAAATTTCTACTAATTTTTAGTCATTTTTTACTAAAATTTTAGTATTAGTTATTACTAAATCAAATAGTATAATATTTCACTAAAAATTAGTGAAAATTTCTACTAATTTTTAGTCATTTTTCACTAAAACTTTAGTAACAAAAATATCACTAAATAAAACAGTAATATTTTACTAAAAATGAATGTAAATTTCTACCAACTTGAATAGACATTTTTTTCTAGTCTATAAAAATTCTTACATTTAATATTTATAACAATGAACAATTTAAAAATCCCCAAATAACTCAAAAAAGCAGACTGCAATCAACGATTAAATTTTAATGTATATTATGAATGAAAAAAAAGTTCCACGATCTGTGCCAAGCTGCTTCTTCTTCTTCTTTTTCTTCTATTCTATTCTTTTTTTTTTTTTTTTTTTGAAAAATTAATAAAGTTCTCTGAATTGGTTTCATCAAAATGAATTTTTTTTTCCTTTTCATTTTCAGAAAATAGGTGAAATTAAAGTAGAAATAATATTGAAAATTCA